ATATGTGCCTCTAGATAGTGAGAGCACTCTGTCTATATCAGTTTAATAAAGTGTTTGTTTTAAAACTCCTTCCAAAAAAATGGGGCCAAAAAAACCTCAGGGTTTAATTTACAAGATGACACAGTGTTTCTGAGTTTTGTGTTTTTCCTAGAGTTTTACATATACACAGCACAACCCTAGTGAGCACATAAAAAATATTGCAACTGCACTACACCCTGTTTCCAATTGCATGCACACGAAAATGATGCTTTAATTTCCAGCCAATGCTCCATGAAAAGGCATTTGAATAAATTTCATGCCTGCTTCTTCGCTGAGTGGATAACCTGCTTTCTGGGATTCCCAAATAGGACAGCTTCAGCTACTGTACTGACTGTGATGAAGTCCCTACAGAAGGCTAATGGCTACGGACACTGGAGCTCACTGAAGTTTTGCTGTTCATACCACCATGAGTAGACCTTCAAAATCCCACCATCCATCCTTGTTCCAGACTACAGGTCTAACAAGATAATTGCTGTGAGCAGAATGTGTGTCAAACTGTCTTGACTTAGACTGCATTGCAAAATTGTCACTCCCATCCTTTCTCAAGCCTTTCCCAGGACTGCTGCAGCAGAGGGTTCTAACACCAGCTCTGCTCCTGGTATCTCCTCCAATGCTATTATTGTTGCTTCCTTGGGTTATGGTATCCCTTTCAGGTCCCAGCAGAGACCTGGGCCCATTGTACAAATGTACAGAGAACATCAGTTCCTGCTGGAGGAGTTTTCACTCACAACAGAGGCAATGAACAGTAGAGTCTTGTTCTGGCTCTGAAGTACTGAGAAAAAGTGAAACCAAGGGCTGGATCCATGAAAGCCTTTGAGGATCTAGATCCTGAATGTATTTAAACAGCAACCACAAAATGCTGTTATAAAGATATATGGTTTGCCCAAGCACAGAAGGAGCCAGGGAGCTGAATCTAAAGGCTGGTCTGTTGCCTTAGTCCTAGCACTAATCTTCTTGTAAACATCTATTAGAACAAAGGATCTCTGATGCACCACAGACTGCAGGTCAAGTTCACTGTCTACAAGTGATACTCTTCCCTCTCAGAGTCACCAGAAAAAGAGTTGTAAAAGCAGAAGAGTTAACGAGGCTGTGCGTCCTATAGATTTGTGTCCAATCTCCCCACAATTTACAGCACTATTTACACCATTTACAGCAGTGCAATAACCACTATTCCCCATCTGTGATTGCTTCAGCTGTGCCTCCTCCATGGCTGCTAGTTTCCAACTGGTGCATCTGTTCAAAACCCTTTTAAACTGCTGCTGAGGTGTTTGGGCCACGCTGCAGACATGCTGGACACATTGACTGCCTGGCAGATGTGCATGGGCTTGACATGGACTGTTGGTGGAGACGAGAGCGAGTGGCAGAAATATCAAGCCTGGAGAAAAGTCTATGACCCCTGAAATGACACTCACCTACTAGAATAGACATTAATGTACTGTTATGGACCTTTATTCACTGGATTTGACAAACCACCGGACTGACTGTTTTCCCCTGTTTTACCCCGGTTATACCCCAGTTCTATATTATATGGTTGTACTGTTCTTTGTACCCCAGTTTATTGTTTAAAAATCATGTCCTCCATATTGTCTTCTTCCTCCCCTCACAGTTTTCCCACCTAAACCTGTTGTCCTCCCCTGTTTTCCCGCTCCTCTGCCTGCCAGTGGTTGAGGTTTGGTGCAGTGCAGAGGTAGCTGTCATTGGCCCATTCCCCCAGTAACTCCCAAACTCCACCTACCTTTACCCTGTCATCCTATCCCTGGGAACCTTCAGTTGTCAATCCCTTGCTCCTCCCTAAACCTGAGCCCAACCCCTAAACCTACACTATTTAAAGCCCTGTTGGCTTAATAAAGTGGGCATTACCTGACCAGACCTCAACTGTGTTTGGACCCCTTATTGTAGTGCCCGATCCCATTCCTTTCTGCAACGGACCGTGGCAACGGACAATGTGGTGGTCCTCTTCCCTGTCCTGCTCTTTGGTTTCATTTTTTTTGCAGGAATTGCAACGCTTCTGAGATCTTTACACTTCTGCCCCCTTTGTTTGGCATTTCCCACAAAGGGACTGGCTGACAGACAGACAAACAAATGGATGGTAGGGTTGCATATGCCTTGCTTCCTTAGGAAACCAGGCTAGAAACAGAAACATCTTGGGTGCACTGGGCAAGATCTGTGGTTTCCAGGCATTCACTTCACTAAAAACTGACATGCACTGGAGCTGCTGGCCATGCATAAGTTTTCAATAGCTTCTTTTATCTTGCAGTGAAAGCCGTGGTTACAGCCGCTGCAGCATTTCATTGAGAGGGTTACAGCATTAGCTGATTGCAAAGCAAAGCAAGCCTGTTGAGGGACACAGTTTTTTGAACATAATCTGATCCTGTTTTTGTTTCCTTATGTGTACATGTAAAACAGAGAAAGACTGATTGTACATATAAATACACATTACACATGCACTCCTTTTTATGCACCAAAGACTGCAGCATAGGAATATATATACGTAAATATACACATATATATTCATGGGCATGTTTCTATGTATAATATTACATACGATATTATATAACTGCATCCACATAATATTTTATGGATGCATAAGGAGTCTTTCTGCTGTGCCTTTTGCAATCGGACATGTCTATCTAGTATTGGCCTTATTAGCCACCAGCGTGCTTGTAACAAATGTGGATAGAGCCTTTCCCAAATCTTTGTTTGCGAAGCCTAGCCATGGTGATGTGTATGTATACATATATATATGTATATATACACACATATATATATATATATGACATTTTAAGATGGGCAAGAACTAGAACACAGGATTCCAAGCCATATTTAAGGGATCTTAAGTATGAGATTTAAATATTTAGAATTAAATACTGAGAGAGAGATCCTAGTATGCCTTCCCTCTAACATGTCTCAGTACAAACAATTTTCCCTTTTGGAAAACATTGTCAGTGTTTTCCGCTTCCTGGCCAAGGCCTCTTTTTTGTATGTTCTCATGGGACTTTTTTACCAAGGGGTGGAGTTTAAAATGTAACGTTCTCAGTCTTGCTAGTGCTGAGGTCTCATTTGGGTGGAGGCGAATAGGTCAGATATGACCTCTGCTGTCACATCATCCAGGCCAAAGCAGTCATGGGGCTGAATCTTGCAAAATACTGGTGGCCTCAGGTTCCTTATCATCAGAGGAACAAAGAGGAGAGAATGTTGAAACATGCAGGGAGGGACCACCCTTCTTTTCTGCCACTGGGTTCTTCATGGAAGCTTAAAGAAAGAAATAATAAAAGCTTTGAATTGAGGAATGGCCTAGCTCTATGGGAAAGATGTGGGCAGAATTCTTATATACAAACAAATATGCTATTGGAGTTAGCAGCTTTTGAAGATACACAGCATTTTTCCTAGTTGTCTTTACATAGGGATGACATTGTTTTCAGACCACTCACGAGAACTTTTAATTCATCATAGCCAAAAAGATTTATATCTCCCAGAAACTAATCTACTTCCACTGGGTTATCAAGATGGAGACAACTTGCCAACTGAAACTAAAGCAAAATAAGTGACTAATTTAAAACACTTCCATCATTCCAAGTTCAGCCTTGTACTGGTCCAATCTCCAGACCATATGTCAATCAGTTCTACTGTGCCACCAGGGATTTTGGAACAGATACTACAGTTCTCCATGCAGAAACACATTTCTTCTGTCCCAAGTGAAGCAATAGCAAATGTGCCATAGGGCATGGGTGCTGTACTAACAATTTATTGGAAAAAAACCTGGCTCCGGCACCTTTCAGTGATGATAAATTTATTGCTTGGAAAGGTAATGACAGATTTTTTTCTTCTCTTAGCTGATATTTGCATGTGAAACCATTTCTGAAGAAAATGCTTTACCTTGATGTTTACTCTAAGCCTCATCCCAGTTGGAACTAATGGACCAGAAGCTGTGACAAGGATTGCCTCTCCTTCTGCATCCACACATTCACAGAGCTGATGGGAAGCTTAATGTCTGTTTTCTCATTTAGCATATGTCTCCTCTCCTCTACCCCAGCCATGTAAAACAATGATTTGTGTCACTGATAAGGCAGCAGTGGAAAGTGTGACCTGCATGCTGATAACCACATGGGGAGGAGGAGGTGGTGGTCCCCAGACACAGGCTACACAATTTCTGTGTGCATAAATGGGTGCATGAGGTCTTGCCCCTTCATCTCTCATCTGGCTCTCTACATTTCATCCTTCAGGTCTGCAGAGCTAGCCTAGGAGCAATACGTAACCCCTGGATAGAGGATCTATACTGAAAATATGAGTTCTTGGATGGCTGTTTTGGATTCAGAGCAGGTAGAGAACCGTGAAAATATCCCTGGCACAAGATACTCCAAGAGATTGAGGTGAATCCAAGGAGAGCAGGACACAGAGGTTCTTGGACCCAGCCTATTGCAGTGAGAGACAGACTCATCACAAAGAGATTTCAGGAAAAACATTCTTCCCCCTGGGCTTATCCCATGAAATTCACCATGGAGAAGGATCTGACTGAGAATGACAGAGGGCCAGTTCTAGCACTGATCTCAGTGTGACAGACACTAGACTTTAGTCCCAAGGGTCAGACCGTCAAATCTTCATGTCTAATGTTAAAAATAAAACATATATGTCAATTTTCCATCTTAGACAACATTGTTCAAGAAATGGCAATAAGGGTGTCTGAATCTCATGTCTAAGCTACTGACAGGCATATTTTGCTGTCATACTAGTGTACTATTCTTTCCTTTGGGCAATTAAACTGCTGGCCTGATAAATGGCAGTGCCAACATAGCTGTCATTTAAGTCCTGGAATCAGTGAATGAAGGAATTCCTGGCTGCTGTTAATGGATGAAGATCTATTGGAGTTAAAAATCCTGCTTGTTCAAGACCTCTCCAAAACAGTGTGGCAAAACAAGGATATTTAACAGCCTACCTCAGGAAAAAAAATTGTACATTGGCAGTGGATGAAAATTCTCCTTTTATTTTAAAACCTCTGTAAAATCAGAGCAATGGGTCAATTCAAGCATTCAGCCAATTTAATTAGCGATTTCAGAGTAATCATGGTAATGAGCCAAGTCGGCAAAGATGTCATTGGGGTTCCTGCAGTTCAGGTTGCAAAAACAAGCATTGATCCACATGATTTTCCAGGAAAACTCAGTTCCATCTGGGCACTGAAACCTCACTTCAATAGTCTTGGACTTGTAGGGTGTGCAGCACCTGTTGTCTGTGCAGACGCCGCAATATTTGGGTCTATATGGACTTTTGCTCACACATCCTGAGATGGTGTAGTTCATGGGTTCATTGGCCCTGTAGACAGCCAAACACTTCTTTCCAGGCTAAATCAGATAAGAAAATAAAAAAAAAAGAGAGGTTAATATTCGATGCTGACATAGAATCATAGAGTCAACAGGGTTGGAAAAGACCTCTGAGATCATCAAGTCCAACCCTTGATCCAACACCGCCGTGGTTACCAGACCATGCCACTAAGTGCCATACCCAATCTCATCCTAAAAACCTCCAGGGACAGTGAATCTATCACCTCCCTGGGCAGTCCATTCCAATGTTTGATTACTCTGTCTGTAAAGAATTTCTTCCTAATATCCAACCTAAACCTCCCCTGGCACAGCTTAAGACCGTGCCCTCTTGTCCTACTGCTGGTTGCCTGGGAGAACACACCGACCCCACCTGGCTACAAACTCCTTTCAGATAGTTGTAGAGAGTGATGAGGTAGGACATAAAATTCACCTTGCTCTCTATAACTACCTGAAAGGAGGTTGTGACAGAGTCAGACTTGGCCTCTTCTCCCAGGTAAATAATGATAGGACAAGGGGAAATGGCCTCAAATTACTCCGTGGGAGGTTCAGCTTAGATACTAGGAAAAATTTCTTAGTTGAGAGAGTGGTTAAGCATTTGAACAGGCTGCCCAGGGAAGTGGAGGAATCACCATCCCTGGAAGTGTTCAAAAACAAGTAGACATAGGATTTCACAATGTGGTCTAGTGGGCATAGTGGTATTTGGTCGAAGGTTGGACTTGATCATCTTGGATTTCTTTTCCAGCTTCAATGATTCTATGATTCCATTCTATGATTCCTGTATTTAAAAGGGTTTGAAGCTGTTAGGAATCCCTATAGGCCATGACAGATTTACATGTTCAGACCTATGAACCCAGTAGGATACTTGCAAAATGGAGTTCACAGCCACGAGCAGACATTCAGCATTACTTTTCCACTAGATGAGTACAGGTCTGTCTAAGCCACCACTGCGCACAGCAGGCTCTGCTTGGCCTTCTTTGCAAGGACCTTTTGGCTGCAGCTAAAGCTCTCAGGGCAAGATTTTCATACCAGCACGTGGAAGCACAGGGAGGACACATTTTGGAACTCTGTGCAGCACAGTAAGTCCATGTAGAAGTGCAGCCCTCTGGGGCCTGAAAGCTGCACAACAAAAGCTGAAGGGGCACACAAAGAAACACTCCCCACCTTGATGTGCTGGGTTATATCCACCTCACAGGGCCTCATGTTGCACAGGCGGCTTTCCTTCAGGAGCCGGCACTGGTCGTTGTCGTTGGAAATCCTGGTGGAGATGCCCAGCCCACAGGTCTTTGAGCAGGGACTCCAGGGTGAGGTGTGAACGATGCAGTTCTTCTGCCAGGCTTCATCCTCTCCCTCATAGGCTGTGGAGACAGTTTAACCCCACATTATTCAGCCAAGACAGCTTTACATATTAAAGACCCTCTCCCCAGCTCATTACACATTCAGGCCACTAACCCAAATAATTAAACTACAGCGAAGTGGCTCAGCATTCCTGCGAAGCCCCTCATCCCACCCCCTTTGTGCTGACCTACTTGTGTCAGACTCCCCAGCTCTGTGAGCGCTCAGGGCCAGGGCTCATTTCTTTCTTTCTTCCCCTTCACAGCCTCACACAAGGAGGTCCTTGTCTGGGACCCCTAGGTGCTGCCACAATACAAATAATTACAGAAGCTTGTTCCAGCGGGTGGAAAAAAGGGATGAGATTTGATCTCACCATGAAGGTTTATTTCTGAGCCCGTTCAATTGATTCCCTGTAGCAGAAAGTGGTCAACAGTCTCTGCTGGATGGCAGAGGGCTTGGGAAGCAGCCACAGCCTTTCACTGTGAGGAAGAGCAGTTTGAATAGCTCACAGAGAGCTCAGTAGCCATTTGGAAAAGGGTGGGCTGTCTTTCGAAAGCAGCCTACAACCCCAGTTCAGGTTCTTTCACAGCCTCAGCCAAAGTCCCCTCTGCTTTGCAGCTCCTGGGACAGCCCAAAGGAAAAACTCTAGTAGAAACTGCTGCACTGAGCTTGCTCACTGTTATGTTTATTAGTATATTAATCACTATACTAAACATAATAAACGCTAGTCGTATTTCTGTAAGAATTCTACTTACAAGAGAAAAGTCAGGCAAGCAAAGCTCTGTTATGCCCATTTTGGGACAAAGGCCATGAAGACATAAGGCCAGTTTCAGTAGCAGATGCTTTGAATTTGGACCTGCATCACATTTCAGAGCTACTAGGGACAGAAGTGAGGGCTAAACTCTGGTGGGTTTAACCCACAAAATGGAGATTGAAGCTTTGTTTTGTGCAGTAAAAATATAGACCAAGGACTGGGGGAAAAAAATCCTGTACCACCAAGGAAACAAAATCCTGGTTTACAACAAGCATCCTACATCTCCTTGAGCTTTGCTTTGTGAGATAGTCTAAAACACGGAGCTAATGTGGCTAATGGCAATACATTGCATTGCAGGGCATTTTGAGGATAAATTTGACATATGGCAAGGTGAGTCCGTCTTAAGCATTTGGGACCATATTTGAGGCAAATGGTACCACCTCTGTGCAGTGGGCTACGAATGTGTGTGGAAAGAAGACTCATTATGTGATACACAAAACAGGTAGTTCAGTAATATCATCAGTCCAGAACTGATGAAAAGCTATACTAACACAAAGACAATTTAGCCCATCTGGCAATGAAACTTCCGCCACAATAACTGTTTTCAAGGTCTAATATAAGTTTGAGACTACTAAGATACAGGGGCTTTAAAATTGCACTACCAAAGCAATATGACCCAGACAGAAAGCCTCAGTCCCAAGTTAAACTGAACCCATTCTGTTTCCCAGAGAATCGACTGAAAAAAAAAAAGATGAAGCATTAAAAAGGACTTGTGATGTCTTCAAAGTTCCAGCAGATGCTTCAAAGGGGACTTTGTCACACAGAATCACAGAATGGTTGCACAAGCATCTTTGGTGAATCTCATAATGATAGAATCATAGAATGGTTTGGGTTGAAAAGGGCCTTAAAGATCATTTTGATCCAAATCCCCTGTAATGGGCAGAGATGCCACACTAGATCAGGTTGCTCAGGGCCCCATCCAACCTGGCCTTGAATGCTTCCAAGGATAAGACATCCATATCCACATTGCTGCTAAGGAGTTTGAGCACACCACACGGGTTTGCCTGTCCTGTTCTTCAGCACATGTTGTGTGGGAGTCTCTGTGCCTCCTTCACACAAAGACTAGATACCTGCCAGGTCTGGCAGTGCAAGCTGATACTTTGCTTGTAGATTCTGTCTTCAGCTTCCTGATGGCAAAGGAGAAGTCTGTCTCACTGCCTCCATACCTGCAGAGGAGATGTGACGTGGAGACGTCTTCCTGATTTTTCTGGAGTCATCACAAACCCACTGCTCGCAGCACTTCCCTGCCATCTTAATCAGCTTTGGGTTTGGGCACCAGACAAGGGGAGGACGTGAGTTTGTGCACATGGGAATACAGCCCACAGCCCCGTTAATGCACGTGCAGTTGTATTTGCAGTTGGGCTGAAACGCTTCCCCATTCTTATACCTGACTCCATTGAGGACACATCCTACACCAACAATTTCTGGAAAGAAAGAAAAAGAGAGAAAGACACACAGAGCACCGTTAAAATAATGCTGGCAACAAGCAGCTCTGATGTGTTCCTTTACCAATCTGATCCCTGGGCTGGCAGAGCCAACACGGAGACACGGCAGTACTGCAGGGCGATGTGTTCAGCGTGATGCTGAGACAGGGGTAGTCACACCATCTAGGAAACTGTTTTCATTCTAAATCACAGCAAAAAAAGAGAATCTTTCAATGCTTCATGGAAAAATAAGTTAGAAAATAAAACAAGCTTTATCAACAAATGCTTACTTAAAAAATCATTTCATGGCATGGTGGTAGGAGTTATTCACGGTAGGAACAATCAAAGCAATTAAAACAGATAATGAGCAAAATTTGAAGCTTTCAGAGACATATGAGGGGACTATATGGAGTCACATATATGACACAGTTCTTCACAACACTTGTACCCATCTGAAGCAGAGAGGGAAAGACAACCAAGGTAGCAAAAGAGCACCTAAAAGGCACTGGATTCCTAAATTTAGGCAACTGGATCCTACCCACTTTAACACAGAATAGTTTTCTAGGAAAATGAAGTATACATTATAAAACCATGAAAATAATTATTTGGTGTATTTTTTTAAGTAAAGTTACAAAAAAAAAAATTCAAGCATTTTGATTGCCCGAGAACAGGAATCATATTGATTCAAACAGCAGTGTTTGGTTTTTTGTTTGTTTCAAAGATATGGCCAGTTATTTGGAAGCACTGGCAGAAATCTTTCAATGGAAAATTCAAAGTTTAGTTTCTTGTTTGGTCACATGGAGGCAGTGCACACGCACTGGTCAGATCACTTATGTTTTAAGTCTGGTGGGAAATGGAGCAGCAATGTGGCTGCTTCAGGGGAACACAAATTGAAATGCTGGATGAAAATTCTGCAAAGGCTATTTCTGGAATGGACTGAATGAAAACATCAAACACAAATTCCTTCTTCTGTACCAAAACAAGAGCTGTTGGAATTTGAAGCACAAATCTAGATCTCCAGTTCATCCTCAGCTCCAATTTTGGAGCTTCAGTCTTTGTATTGAAAAAATATCACTTAGTGCTGAACCTAAGAATTCAGGTATATCTCTAGATGTTCACATGGACTACAACAATTCAAGAAAATGCTGTATTTCCTGGTGTTTTCCTACCAGCATATCCCTCCCACACTATGAGAACAGCCTTCTTCAAATCTCCTACACCAAGAGGCTCACCATGTGAACACTTCCAAACACAAAGGGGTTGCTGAATGCCTTCATGCAGAACTTCACTAAGTCTGAAATTAAGCAATTTGGAAGCACATCCCTAATCCCAGCCCCATGCGCACAATGCCTGACTCCCCACCTGGGCGTGTGCTCAGCACTCTGCTGTCTCTGCTTTGGTACAGAGAAAATCCAACAACAAAAGGAGAGCTGTAGTGGCTCCCAGCAGGTTCTTATTTCATGTCTGGGAGGTTAGATCCTGGGATACACCTCAGCACGCCAGTCCAGATACAGCCTGAATTTCCCCCAGTTTGACTGCATTCCCTTTCCCAAAACCAGTTCCTTGTTCTTTCAGTATCTTTATTTTTCCACATATTATATTGTTTCCGTAGACCTGTATGCTCTGGATTCTCTAGGTTCTCTAGACCTGTAGCACCTATATGCAAAGCAAATTCCTCACAGCAGTTAGTCCCCACCACCCAACAAGGTGCCACTCACATGAGCCTTCACTCACCCTGTGATCAGGACAGAACCTGATGGGCTGAGAGTGGGGTGATGCAGCCTATATGTGTCCCAGGGTACAAGAAAGAACATGTCAGCAGATCCTGTCCTATGCATCTACCTGGATGATGAACGCAAGGGAAAGACTACAGGTTTCTTTGGCAGCCAGAGACAACCCACTTCAGTCCTAACCGTGGAAAGACCTACCTCTCATTCCCCTCAGCTCTGTATGCCACAATGCCCCTCACCATAGAATCACAGATATCACATAATAGGGAGTATATTGTCATGGTAGTAAGGATGATAAAGCATAGACTGGGAATCTCTCCAGACCTCACTGGAAAATCTGGAGCTCAATCTTAATACATCGCGGTGCTGCTGCCACAGACACACTGAATGCCTGTAATGTATGGGAGGACTGCAAAAACCAAAAGATATCCAACTAAGAAAGCAAGCATTTAAATAAATAAACAAATGTGAAGCAACGTGAAGGTCTTTAAAGAGTTCTAGGAAGGCTGATAGCTTTGAGACAACATCAAGCCTGTTTTCCTCTCCCAACCCAGGGCCAGCTGTAACGATGTCATTCTTGACAGTGTTTGTCTAACCTGCCCTTACAGACCTCCCACATACTCCAGACAATACACTTGAATGATCTCATATCCTCTTTTCTTAACCTTAATCTTTTCTAATCTTGAAAATCACTGTTTAAGCATACAGCTCCTTGCACGTAACTTCTCTTCTTGTTATTTTGATCATATTCTGCAAAAATCTGGTTAGACTGCACTTTTTGCATGCCTTTTTTTTTTCTAGCTGAGCTACTGCAAAGTCAAGGTTATTTCTTACTACACTTTCTATCCTTCTGCTAAGGAACAGCAACACCTAGTATCACTTCTGGGAGAAACTGTCAGCTTCCCTGAACTGCTTCACTCTTCAGACCTGCCCCTTGTGTGACTTCTGCTGTTTTAAATTTATGGAAGCCTACAGTTTGTAATCTTTTTCCTCTTCTGTGAATCAGCTATTCTATCTATTCATCTCACAATCAGCTCTCCTCCAGGTCTTGTTTCACCTTTAGATTTCCTCTTAGATCATTATAGTTATGTTCCAGCCTAGAAGACCCTACCTCTAAGTGACTTTTTCCTGTTTACGTACCTAAAGCCATGGCCATATATTCTAATAACTTGCTAAATAGTCAACAGCCTTTCTGATCAGCAATCTGTGTGGTTGTGCTTGCGATTCTTTCACTTTTAATCTTTCCCGGAGGAGTGATTGTCAGCAATTTCTGACATTTATGAGCTAATCAGATTCACTCTCATGTTCTGGATCTCAGAACAAGTGAACATATCCTTGGCACAAGAAACATTACCTAACTTTTTTTCCTCTGCTTGAGTAAAAGCATTCCAGTCACGTGAAACCAAGAGTTTGTTACAATAGGCGGGAAGAAATCCTTCTGCCTCATGGCAGCTAATGTGACTGTAACCATTGTAAAATTAAGGCTCAGACCTCAATTTGTCATTGAAAAGCTCTGATAGGAGAGGATCCACTCCTGACCCTCTTGACAGGATACCATGTGCTATCCTTTCAAAGGATCCACAGTAGGGAATATGCCAAAAGCATCCCCTTAATGTCATCATTTTCATGTAGATGCCTATGTTGCTTGTCTTTAAATCCGGCTGCACACCTACCCTTCCTTCATCCCTAACCTGCTGCAGAACCTCCTTCTGTTGCAGGGAATATGGAATCATCTACTTGCACATCTGGAGACCTCCCAATGCTGGTTGGTCTTTGCTCTTGGCTGCAGCCAACTCAAAGAGCAAGAATTCAGATGTCATTTCCCATTGAGCCACCTGCCCTGAGAACAAAGACAGATACAATGGAATGGAAGATGATGCATGGAGGAGTAGATGAGCGTGCAGTCAGTAATCTAATGAGATAAACCTCACCCACTGCTCAGACTGAGGGGAGCTGCCAACGTATATCTAAGTCAAAAATATATGTACATCACTTACGTGCACATACTCCTATTTCGTACCTAGGTCTGTCTCCGCTGTAGTCACAGTACAAGCCCCTGTGGAAATCACAGGTGTCAGCCTCTGTGCAGGTCTCTCCACGCTGCCTGGCACAGGTCTTGCAGCAGTCACAGCCGTCCATGACCAGGCTGACGCCCACGGAGCACCGCGGTGGGGACTTGGGGCACTCGCACGGCCACTTACAGTACTGGGTCCGTGTGTAGGTCTCTGTCGTGTCTGGGACAGTGGGGGCCATGGTGGTGATGGAAGTCTGGGAAATGGCCTGCAAACAGAGAAACACAGCTTGGAGAGCGTTACAGAGAAATGGAGGCTGCAAAAGCAGTGGTGATTAGTCCTCAGTTAAAGTCCCCTCAGCTGTAATGAGTCTGTAAGGAAACCAAAGAATAAATGTCAAAGAGCCATGGAATTGTGGTGGTGCTTACTGTCTTGTAAACCCTTCAAGCCCCAGCTGAGGGCAAATGCTCTGTGACTGGGACCACCATGCAAACAGCCTGGCACCACTTTGCTGGCCCTCAGCCCCTTCTAGACCTCTCTCTCTAAACAGAGGTCTCTCACCATGTAGGAATGTACCAAAACCTCTCTGATACATGAGAAGAAGGTGTGAGGTGTGTCCAGTCTTCATCACCTTGTGGTGCTTGGTTCTGGCAGAGGATTGTGCCACCCCATATTATTGTCACTGCTGGTTGAGAGAAGGCTCTAGAGACTCTTTGCTACTTGTAGACTTCTTTTACACAGCAATCACTGCTTTTCAGGTCACCAAGAAAGATAAAGGTCATCGTGTTGCAGTGTGAAAGCGCATGTCCCTGTTTGGCCTCACATTCCTAAGACTTATCCATATTTTTGTGGCTCTTGCAACCAAAACGTGGGATCTCACAAATCCTCAAGGGGACTGGGATCAATCCTGTCAGCCTACCATCCTCACAGACACCCAGTCATGAACCACTGTGCTGTGAGGATGCTTGGAAACCCACTGACTCGGTCACTCCATCATGGATCTCCTGAAGATGTCCTGTCCATTTTTTCACTTCTTGCAATACTCCTAATACCACAACAACTACTGCCTTATGACGTCCTAGCCCTTTGTCTTGACTAGAGATGAAGTTTGAGAAAGGAAAAGATATCCTCTGAAACCAAAATCTATGTAATTGGCTGTGAATGTCATGTTGCACAAGTTCACTCACCTCTGTTTGAAAAATATTTTGCTTGTCTCCACCCCTATAACACAACACACATGCAGTTCAGCCCCCTGACAGAGTCCCAGTCCTAAGCAATGAAGCTATACTATGGCTAAAACAAATACAAAAAATTAAAAAAATTTAATAAAAATGATTTAAAAAGTAATGTATGCACTCTAAGCACTCTGACAACCACCCTTACCCATCCTTCACAGTGTTCAGACTACCATACTCAGCAGAAATGCTCTCTGAGCCATGAGGCTGTTAGGTCTGTTAGCAGTGGGCTCTTCCTGGTCACATACTGTAGTTCCCATGATGTTGCCCTGGCTCACACAGTCAAAAACCTGGGATATTTCTGCAGTGATTTTCCACCTACTCCTTTTGGCAGGTGCTTTTGTCCTACATGGAATCATTGTGGCACATGTAAGTTGGATGAGTGAAGCTTCATAACATTAGAGTTTTTCGCATTAGCCATGCAAAAATATTTACCACCATGGTGAGAAAGGAAGGAATACTTTTAGGGGGAGGGTAATACTGCCAAGTTTACATTTCCTGATCTCCATTTCTTGGCAAATAAGTAAAAAAAAAACACCAACAAACTAGCTTTCATGTTAATTCAAAATCTGATCATCAGATAAAAAAATTGAGGTAAATAAAGGTAGAAAAGGGACTTTGTGTAACACAGTGATGTGACTGCAGTAGACACATCCAGGTGTCACTATTACTGAGATCATGGAGTACTGGGATCCCTTAACTCATTGAAAAACCCACAGAAACTAGAGGTTCACTGCCTTCTGGAGTCTCTAGTCTTCACAGAGCAAACTCTGGATGACATTTAACAGCACCAGCCACAGCCACCAGCACCAGCACCTTGTGGTGCAGGAAGGGTGCAAATCAGCGTGGTGACAAAGCAACGATGCAACTTTTCTGGGAGTATCACTGCACAGAAAACCTGAGCTGTTTGTGGGGGTCAAGCAGGGCACAGTAGCTCAGGCATAGAAAAAAACAGGGTTATTTACATACTGTCAACAGCAGCCAGAACATAGCACTGCTTTGGTACCTGTGGCCTAGAAGCCCTTCCTAATGACAAGGTGTGAGGGCTGTAAAGAATAAGTGAGTAATCCTAAAACGTTCCGAGAAGGAAAGTCAGGTTCTAGAAACTGCTAAGGCAATTCCATCTATTGCTGGCTTCCTTGTGCTGTACTATATATCCCCAGTGTTTTGTCCTCTTTGCAGTTTCAGATGTCTCAAACAGAAGGCTTTCCAACAACTCTCCACAAAGAAAATGCCTCAACCCAAGACTTTGTGTCACCCCCAAGAACTGTGATCCCACAGTGAACTATCCATGAGGATATCTCTGCAAAGCCCCTTTACTGTCTTCTACAGCTTCTTGGTTAGCAGGCTCAGATTTTAATAAAGTGCATTTCTAAACCTGCTACTGCTTTATCTGAAGGTCCATTTAAGTCCATTAGTATTTGGTTACCCTATATTTAGTTAATTGTGAACACATTACTAATCACTGCCAAACAGAGAACATGTTTGCTCTGGGCATGATTCCCAATTCCATTAAGGCCTCCTTTACAAACAGTTGGCCTTAAAGTTGGCTTAAAAACACCTTTAAAGTGATGTTTAAACTAAAACATACCAATATAATTTACTCCCACTTTAAGGCTCATTGATGCTGCCAGAGTTGTTAAAAGAGAAACATTCAGATTGATGAAAAGCCCTGACCTTTTAATAGTAGGATTTTTCATTCTAATCACAATGATTTGAGTAGGTGCAATAATCTGCCACTTGAGAAGAGAGGCCTCCTCAAGTGCAATAAACCTATTTACTTTGTCACTGATCATTAAAAGAAAGTGCTTAATCATCAAATCCAGATGCACAGACAAAAGTCACACAGCTATTTAAAAAGCCCATTGCCACGGCCCAACCCTGTAAGTAAATCCCTTGCCCATCTCTTGTTTCTACTGTCAACAAGAGCAAGCAAACAGCTTATACCCCGTGTAGATATAAGAGCGTCTGTGAACCAATGCAGGCAGCAAAGAGGAACCCTGCTACTCCTGTGGGTTTAGTTAATATGTGAAGGACTGGGGCTGAATTTTTACAGAGGACTGGATAGCTGGGAGACTTGGTGGCTTTTGATAGAGAAGAATTTGGAACGAACTATTTAACAGCCCTTCCTGTAGGTCTAAAGCCTGAGCTGGCCAAGGAAGCCTTTCCAGTGTCCTTGTAGTGGTTACCTGTTCTTGGATGTGCTGGCTGAAATGTCCAGTGGTATGGCTGAGTAAGCTTTCTGAGGACACAGTGTGGGCTGCATAAGGATCTTCAAATAACCAGCGTGAACAGGCATCAAAATACTATGACTCCTCTGTTTTACAATAGGGAAGACACGGAGTGATGGAAGCAGCAGTATGTCCTAGGCTCCATCACCACCCAACCAAAACCTTTGGAAACTATTGTCCATTGAGCACTTTAACAAGTGCACAACATGTAGAGCTTCCAGGACCTCTTCTTCTCCCCTCCTAAGTCCCTCATAACTTAACTATGGGAGAAAAAATTCCACAGAATTATAAAATTATTGGCTTTCTCTTTTCCATGGTCAGCTGTCGTCACTGGAATATCTAAATACCTTTGGAAAAGTCATTCAGCCCTACTATGTCAATATCCCAGAACATTTTGGGATATAGACTTACTTATTAATAAGTATGTTGGTTAAGACATCATAACTAATGCTTTCCACAAGTGCCATCAAAAGGAAATCACACTCCAATGGCCTTCATCAATGGCCATCCCTAACCAGAAAAAAATGTCAAACAAGTAAAAAAAAAAACCCACTCATGTAATTTAAGGTTTAAGGAATCATGTAGTTAGGGTCAATATAACATATAGGACAACAAAGGTTTTGTAAGAAATCCAAAATAGGAGCAAAGGGGAAATTAACACAAAAAATCACAGTGGTGGGCATTTGACAAGTTTATTTTAAAATGTCAGAAAGATAAAAGAACGTGCCTGGTAGGAAATTAATTTTTGCAAGTACTGGTAATTAACCTATTTTATTTAATTATTCTTCAATCTTGGAGATTGCAGATTTATTGTCTTGGATGCCAAGGAGAAAATATTCCACCACAAGTTATTCATGAGTTCTAATTTTGCTGCTTTTGGAGGTACAAGCCCATTCTCATTAAAACAAGATGAAGCCTTTCTCACTCTGCCATGCTTGATAACTCCCTATTAAAGTCACTCCTGATTTATGCTTGGCAAGCTCCAAAATTACTTTCTTTATGCATCTACAGAGCAGATTGCTAGCAACAATTTATAACTAATTTCTGTGTTCACATTGAAGAGGAGAGAAGGAGAAATAAAAAATTACCCATAGCCACAAACACAATATTTTTAATAGCCATGAGTTTTATTATCCAAGTTTAAAGATATGAAAGGGATAGTAGCATTTTAGCGGCAGATTCTACCTCCTGGTAAAGTATATTTTCAATTTGTTGGAAAATATTGTAATTTTTATCATGTTTTAGTTTCAAAATCTGGAAAGACCAAGCGATGGTGTTGAAATTACAGTCCAAACTGCAAGCCAGGCAGATATATTGCAGCACTTTTACACAGTGCCAGAGGAGTCTCCACCTTTGCTTTAGAGCAGCAAAGCCCTACATGCATCACAATATATTCTTTTTCTTCCAGTTTTTACAGATGTTTAAAAATACACTCATGTATTGATTTCACTGTTTCAGTCCTTTGAGATCTTACATTTAAAACATTTTTCTTTCAAGTATTTTTCTCATCAGGATCAACTGGGTTAAGGTAAGGAGAAGACATTGATGTTCTTTCCCTCCAGTTTATTGATGGAAAGAAATTTAGAAAGGACAATGACTTTAAATTTGATTCCTCTGGCTGTTGACAGAGCTGGGGAAGTAGTTCCACAGTACCAGAAACCTTAGCACTTTATCACCTCCTACTGCTTTCTCTTTGGTGGTGATTTGATCTCCAAGATGGACTTGTTAATTCACTCTGAGCTGCCCAGGCTGTGTTTTGCAGGGCACATGCCACTGGGTGCACTACATTTAATTTCCCACAG